CATGTTGGCCAGGCTGGTCTCGAACTCCTGACCTCAGGTAATCTGCCCACCTCAGCCTCCCAAAGTGCTGGGATTACAGGTGTGAGCCACTGCACCAGGTCCAGTTCCACTGTTTCTAAAAGGGAATATTAATTATACCTACCCAATATGGTTATTGTGAGGAGTAAATAAGTAGAGTGTTTAGAACGCTCTCTGGCATATAATCAGCACTCAGTAAGTGTTAACTATTTCACTATTTTTGTTATTATCATCATCATCAAATTTCAGAAACTTTGCATAGTGGCAGTATTGTAACCAATGAGATTTATCCGAGGTATGATTATTGCTCATTGAAAAATCAAAGGCTGGGCACAGTGGCTCACACCTGTAATCCTAGTACTTTGGGAGGCTGAGGCAGGCAGATCCTTTGAGGCCAGGAGTTCAAGACCAGTCTGGGCAACACGGCGAAACCCATCTCTACAAAAAACCACAAAAATTAGCCAGTATGGTGGCATATGCCTGTAGTCCCGGTTACTTGGGAAGCTGAGGTAGGAGGATCGTTTGAGCCTGGGAGGAGAGGTTGCAGTGAGCCAGGATCATACCACTGGACTCCATTTCGAGAATTCAATACATATATTACATTTTCGGGAGAAAGTAAGAAAATTTATTTCCAAAAAAAGCCAGAGAAAATCTTATTACACCCATTGGCTCTAATTGGATCATGGGCCCATCCCTGAGCGAGACTGGAGGATGGTCATACATACACTGTATACATGGATTGCTTAGGCCTGATCAACATGCTTCTTCCCTGGAGCACAGATCTACTATGGCCAGCCTGGTCTCGAACTTTTTACCTCAGGTGATCCGCCCATCTTAGCCTCCCACAGTGCTATAATTACAGGCGTGAGCCACCACACCCGGCCCAGAGTTAATTTTTATTCACGAAACTCACATAACAGGTTTATTTATTTCAGTCGTTTTGTTGGTTAAAGAACCAAGATTTTTTTTTTTTTTTCCAGAGTGATTATTCTTTTAATACCTTTACTTCTCATCAGGTCCTAATTCTTATTCGAACAAGATTCCCCCTTTTGGGTCTGATAATTGTAAAGTACATGCAAGTGACCTGCTTTTTTTTCTTTTTCTTTTCTTTTCTTTTTTAATACATTTATTTATTTATGTTATACTTTAAGTTCTAGGGTACATGTGCAGAACGTGCAGGTTTGTTACATATGTATACATGTGCCCTGTTGGTGTGCTGCACCCATCAACTCGTCAGCACCCATCAACTTGTCATTTACATCAGGTATAATTCCCAATGCCATCCCTCCCCTCTCCCCCCTCCCCACAATAGGCCCCGGTGTGTGATGTTCCCCTTCCCATGTCTAAGTGATCTCATTGTTAAATTCCCACCTATGAGTGAGAATATGTGGTATTTGGTTTTCTGTTCTTGCGATAGTTTGCTGAGAATGATGGTTTCCAGCAGCATCCATGTCCCTACAAAGGACATGAACTCATCCTTTTTTATGGCTGCATAGTATTGCATTGTATTCCATGGTGTATATGTGCCACATTTTCTTAATCCAGTCTGTCACTGATGGACATTTGAGTTGATTCCAAGTCTTTGCTATTGTCAATAGTGCCACAATAAACATACGTGTGCATGTGTCTTTATAGCAGCATGATTTATAATCCTTTGGGTATATACCCAGTAATGGGATGGCTGGGTCATATGGTACTTCTAGTTCTAGATCCTTGAGGAATCGCCACACTGTTTTCCACAATGGTTGAACTAGTTTACAATCCCACCAACAGTGTAAAAGTGTTCCTATTTCTCCACATCCTCTCCAGCACTTGTTGTTTCCTGACTTTTTAATGATTGCCATTCTTTTTTTTTTTTTTTTTTTTTGAGACGGAGTCTTGCTCTGTGCCCCAGGCTGAAGTGCAGTGGCCGGATCTCGGCTCACTGCAAGCTCCGCCTCCCGGGTTTACGCCATTCTCCTGCCTCAGCCTCCCAGGTAGCTGGGACTACAGGCGCCTGCCACTGCGCCCAGCTAATTTTCTTGTATTTTTAGTAGAGACGGGGTTTCACTGTGTTAGCCAGGATGGTCTCGATCTCCTGACCTCGTGATCCGCCCGCCTCGGCCTCCCAAAGTGCTGGGATTACAGGCTTGAGCCACCGCGCCCGGCCTAATGATTGCCATTCTAACTGGTGTGAGATGGTATCTCATTGTGGTTTTGATTTGCATTTCTCTGATGGCCAGTGATGATGAGCATTTTTTCATGAGTCTGTTGGCTGAATAAATGTCTTCTTTTGAGAAACGTCTGTTCATATCCTTTGCCCACTTTTTGATGGGGTTGTTTTTTTCTTGTAAATTTGTTTTTCTTTGTAGGTTCTGGATATTAGCCCTTTGTCAGATGAGTAGATTGCAAAAATGTTCTCCCATTCTGTAGGTTGCCTGTTCACTCTGATGGTAGTTTCTTTTGCTGTGCAGAAGCTCTTTAGTTTAATTAGATCCCATTTGTCAATTTTGGCTTTTGTTGCTGTTGCTTTTGATGTTTTAGACATGAAGTCCTTGCCCATGCCTATGTCCTGAATGGTATTACCTAGGTTTTCTTCTAGGGTTTTTATGGTTTTAGGTCTAACATTTAAGTCTCTAATCCATCTTGAATTAATTTTCGTATAAGGAGTAAGGAAAGGATCCAATTTCAGCTTTCTACTTACGGCTAGCCAATTTTCCCAGCACCATTTATTAAATAGGGAATCCTTTCCCCATTTCTTGTTTTTCTCAGGTTTGTCAAAGATCAGATGGCTGTAGATGCGTAGTATTATTTCTGAGGGCTCTGTTCTGTTCCATTGGTCTATATCTCTGTTTTGGTACCAGTACCATGCTGTTTTGGTTACTATAGCCTTGTAGTATAGTTTGAAGTCAGGTAGTGTGATGCCTCCAGCTTTGTTCTTTTGACTTAGGATTGTCTTGGCAATGTGGGGTCTATTTTGGTTCCGTATGTACTTTAAAGCAGTTTTTTCCAATTCTGTGAAGAAAGTCATTGGTAGCTTGATGGGGATGGCATTGGATCTATAAATTACCTTGGGCAGTATGGCCATTTTCACAATATTGATTCTTCCTATCCATGAGCATGGTATGTTCTTCCATTTGTTTGTGTCCTCTTTTATTTCACTGAGCAGTGGTTTGTAGTTCTCCTTGAATAGGGCCTTTACGTCCATTGTAAGCTGGATTCCTAGGTATTTTATTCTCTTTGACGCTATTGTGAATGGGAATTCATTCATGATTTGGCTCTCTGTTTGTCTGTTATTAGTGTATAAGAATGCTTGTGATTTTTGCACATTGATTTTGTATCCTGAGATTTTGCTGAAATTGCTTATCAACTTAAGGAGATTTTGGGCTGAGATGAGGGGGTTTTCTAAATACACAATCATGTCATCTGCAAACAAGGACAATTTGACTTCTTCTTTTTGTAACTGAATACTGTTTATTTTTTTCTCTTGCCTGATTGCCCTAGCCAGAACTCTCAACACTATGTTGAATAGGAGTGGTGAGAGAGGGCATCCCCGTCTTGTGCCAGTTTTCAAAGGGAATGCTTCCAGTTTTTGCCCTTTCAGTATGATATTGGATGTGGGTTTGTCATAAATAGCTCTTATTATTTTGAGATACGTTCCATCAATACTGAATTTATTGCGAGTTTTTAGCATGAAGGGCTGTTGAATTTTGTCAAAGGCCTTTTCTGCATCTATTGAGATAATCATGTGGTTTCTGTCTTTGAAGAACCAAGATTTTTTATGACTGTACTTTTAGTGTTACTGAATAAGTACTGAAGGGGTTTTCCCTTAAAAAAAAAAGTTTTGAGATAAAAGAATATAAACTGTACTTCTTCTCTGCATTGGAGTCTTTAGTTTGTTTGCTGCTCTTGTTCCAAAACTTCTCATTACTCAACTTACTAAACCCACAGACACTTTTCAAGAAGTTATCTCTTTTCTACCATCACCAACATATAGGGTGGCTTAGATCTGTATTTCCAAGTCTTACTGTCGTTCCAAGAATTACTATCAACTATCAGAATCTCAAAAACTCAACTGCATACTGATCGCGCTGCCCAGTGTACCTCTGAATCCCACGGGGGAGGGGGTGTCGAACCAAGTTGTGCAGGAATGGGATATTCCACACTCCAGGGCAAACTTATTCGTAGGATCAGTGGCGGGCTTTGGAGGTGGGCAGCCGGAAGGAAAGGGAGTGCAGATAAACTCTTCTTCAGATCTCCGGGGTGAAATGAGTGCACCTGACTCCCAGTTGGCATTAGAAGCTCCCTGAACTCAGTGACGGTATGCTGGACAGAGGCTGGGACTCCGGGCCACCGGGACAATTCTGCCAGTAGCAAGCGTTGCGCGCTCCTGTGAGGGCGCGCGCGCGCGCGCATGTAGTCGTGTCTCGCGCAGGGTCGGGCCTGTCAGGCGGGAAATCTCGCGAGATCGGAGACGGGGCTGACGGTCGGGAGGAGGGGAGTGGTGTCGGGGAAAGGGGGGGAACCTGGGCAGCGGCCGGGCTCTGTGGCTTCAGGGCTCGGGGAGAGAGAGGGAGGGTGGCAAAGAGAGTGAGTCGGTGCCGCCGCCTGCCTGAGGAGAGAGGAGGGGTCCCGCTCGCCCTGCGCCCTTCGCGGGCCGAGCGCACTAGGCACTCGAGAACATCTGAGGCCTCCCGGCCCCGGGGGACCCCGCCCCACCGTCCGCCGGCCGGCCCGCGGCCTCTCTTCCCTTTGTGAGCGCCCCCTTCCCAGGGGTGGTGGTGGTGGTGGCGGAGGGCTGCGCGTGGGCCCGCCCGCCGAGGGGCCGCGGCGGGGGACCGAGAGGGCCTCGGCTGTGTGAGGAGGAGAGGCGGCCGAGGCCCGGGCCGGTTCCCCCGAGGCGGCAGCGGCGGCTACGGCTCCCGGCACTTCCCCGCGCCATCTTAACTGAGCCCAAGCGCTAAGGGCGCCTCCTCGACCCCGGTAGTCCCTTCGCCCCCCCCCCCCCCCCCCCCCCCCCCCCTTTTGGCGGCGCTGGGGGGGGGGGCCCCGCGGGGGCTCTGGGGGGGGGGGGGGCGGCGGTCTGTCGCCGGGCCCCCTCCTCCTCCTCACTCCTCACCCTCCAGGGTAGCGGCTACCAGAGCGCTGCCGGGGGCTGCGCCTGCCTGCTCCGCCCCAGACCTGTCGGCGAAAGGGTAAGGGCACCTCTGCTTTGGGAAAGGGAGATATGGAGGGGGGCGGGGAAATTCGGCCCACTCGGGCCTGTGTGTGGAAGACGGAATGTGGGGGTGGGGTGGGGGAGGGAGACAAGGAGGGTCTGTGATTCTGTGGGTGGGGTGAAGAAGCTGGTGAGCTGGGCGCCCTCCCGTTTTAAGGGGCGAGAGCAATTCCATTCCTTTTTCCTGAGGGTCACCGGAAGGGGTGTTGGAAGGGGGATGTTTCGAGGAAGGTGTGGCTCTCACAGGGAGACTGGCTTGATGTGCACCCCGGTTTAAAGGCGCGAGGTCCCTTTCCCCTCTGGTGCCTCTGCTCCTCCCGCTCCTTCTCCTTTGTAGTGTCTGTGTATTCTTGGGAAGGGAGACTGCTCTAAGTGGCTTGCTGGGTGGATTCCACCCCCTAGCACAGGAAATCTATACCCCTCTTCTGTAGGGGTGATGGAAGCGTTTCTCTCCCCCTACCCTTCCCCCTTCCCCATCCTCTAGTCTACTGCAATGCTGCAGAAGTCCAAGGCAGTTTCTTCATACACAGACTCATGTATACACAGAAGGGAGGGGGAGCAGGAGAGGGAAGTAATGGCGCTTCCCTTTAAAAGGTTACTCTTTTTCCTTTGGTTTTAAATCGATGACAGTACCGTTTTAATACTCTTCCCCTGAGATCTGTCCATTGGAAGTGTATCTGCTCCTGGTGTTATTGTTGGAGGATACGGCCTCTCGAGAGGGACTCCTCTTCTGTTAGAACAGTTTTGGTGTCTCTCTTTTTGAGAGATATCTGAGTTGACATTTTTTTGTGAGCAGGTTGGGTTTTAGTTAGAATTCAATAAAATAATTTTGTACCTCCTCATCCTCATTTCCCTTTTCTTTTTATATGACTTTTGTAGTTCATGAATAATTATTGGCCAGGCGCGGTGGCTCACGCCTGTAATCCCAGCACTTTGGGAGGCCAAGGCGGGCGGATCACGAGGTCAGGAGATCGATACCATAACACTGTGAAAACCCGTCTCTACTAAAAATACAAAAAATTAGCCGGGCGTGGTGGCGGGCGCCTTTAGTCCCAGCTACTCGGGAGGCTGAGGCAGGAGAATCGCTTGAACCCGGCAGGCGGAGGTTGCAGTGGGGCGAGATGGTGCCACTGCACTCCAGCCTGGGCGACAGAGCGAGACTCTGTCCCAAAAAAAGAAAAAAAAATTATTAACAATTATTACATACAGACAGCCTGTCTGATGGGCATTTCTCCCTAAGCTGCGAATTTTTAGGGTTAATACTGTTTTGTATAATATTGAAATTGGAATTTTTTGAAAATGGTTGGGTTACAAACCTTTCTGCAGCTGTTGCTTTGTTCTTATTAATCTGCCTAATTATTCTGTGATCTATTTTCTGTAGTCAGTCATTTTTTTCACTTCTTTTGCTACCTATCATATTTGTCTGAAAGCAGATCATCTTATCTGATTTACAGTAGTACTTGTTGGTTTTGTTCTTAGTTGAGTAGAAATAAATAAAAATTTAAACATTCTGGAAATGTGCTGCCAAGTGCGTTTTGTGACCAGAGTAGTTTTCAAGTCTCCATGTACTGATGATACATTTTTTTCTTTTTAAGTGTTTAGTAAATACTGGTGATGTGATTTTAAAATATTCCACATATGACTATTAGTAGAATTAAATTATTTTTTCCCAAAGTGAAGAAGAAGACTAAAATGTGTACAGATAATGAGTTGTCTTTGGTGTATTTAGTGTTTTCAGCTCTACTTAGTGACTTATTTTTAAATATTTCCAAATGCCATCTGCATTTTATGTTGTCATTAAATGTTGTCCAATAGAGCTTTTTTGGTGTGTTCGTTGCATTTTGAAACCTGTTTTAAGATAGGGATTTAAAGATGTTAGTAGTAGGGCCAGGCACTAACTTAGTTTCTGTCATTTTATATCATGATTTTGATGTAGGAGACATGGTATGTTAAATAAATTTTATTATTTTTTTTCCTCAGAAGATGGAATTCTCTTTGCTTTCTTTATTGCCTTTTAATGGTCATCTCAATTCATTGAAGTGAAATAACACTATTCATTTGAGTATTTATTTCATGGGACAAAGCTACATGTTGTTGATACGTAGAGTTTTCTCCATTATGGCAAATTATGCCAGAAAGTCTAATTCTCCGTATTATGGCTTGTTGATAATTAATTCATATATACTAGCATGTGTTGATCAAAGCATACTGCTCAGTAAAGAGTGACTGCTTTTACCTTGGAAAGTTGTAGGCAGAGAGGATTTATCAATAGAGGCTACAAAACTTAAAGGATTTACACAGGGTGTAGGTTAACTATTTACTTGCTATATTTCAGCATGCTGTAATTAAGGAGTACTCTTTAGGACAACTGAAAAACAAAAACAAAAAAAACTCTTTTTCAGAGCTGGTAGGAATGTTGCCTAAAAGTAGAAAAAGTATGTTCATGATCAATTAAATACATTATTAAGGAAAAATTGCCTGAGGGTTATTTCAGATGACCTCTGATGCCACTGTCAGAAAGAAAATGCTGAGAGCTGTTAGTCTGAGTTGATTCCAGATTAGTATGGCACTTCTTATGTTTCTAAATAGTTCATCTACAAAATGGCAGTGTAAATCACTTCCTGTTCTTTCACAACTGGCTCTTTCACTGGATTCTCTTTTAATGACTTAATTTTTGGCATTCTGATATCTGATTTGTTAATTTGGTTATAATTCTCATGTTTTATAGGTGGAAGAATTTCTGAGAATCAGCTGAATTTAAAGGCTTTTAATAGTCTTAAGATTATCTTGACAGTAACAAAACATTGCTTCTAAACTAAAGGATAGTATTGCAAACAAATTTAAACTCTGAGAGGTTTTAAAGAAATACAGCAATGTACAGGATCAAAAATGTGAGTGCACTGAATAGAAAATAATTATTGTATTTTTTATAATGTCGATTTTGGGAGAAGTGCGGATATGGCAGGTAATTGAATGGGTGGTGATATAAAATAAGCTTTCTGTATAACAAGGTATATATATGATATTTGGGCCCCTGTTACGATGCCATTTTAACAATAAGAAAACAACTCATTAGTTAACAGGATACTAGAAAGACTGGATGCTCATAACTAACCATGAGTATGATTTATTTTAATAATTTGCCAGTTCTTAGTAGACATGAATATTTAGTAAATCCAGAAGTTACCTAGGGGTCAATTGTTGGCTTTGAAATTAGAGTTGAGATTAATCTGTCTTTCATGTCTTTCACCTGGAAATAAATTCTGTGTTTTGCATTTGGCTTATTTGTATATTAAAATCACTTAATTTTTTTATTTGTATCTCTGTTTTGTTTTCAGTGGTCTTTATTATAACAACTAATTGCACTCATACTAATTTAATCTTTTATAAATGAGCATTTTTGGTACATATTAGTTGAGGGCTGATGTTTAGATGAGGATCATATATGAACAAATCTCTTTAAAAAAGTATTTCTGGGCTGGGCGAAGTGACTCAGGCCTGTAATCCTAGCACTTTGGAAGGCTGAGGTGGGAGGATTGCTTGAGGCCAGGAGTTCAAGAGCAGCCTGGGCAACATAGCATGACCCTGTCTCTATAAAAAAAAAAAAATTTATTTATTTATTTATTTATTTATTTATTTTTTGAGATGGAGTCTCGCTCTGCCGCCCAGGCTGGAGTACAGTGGCCAGATCTCAGCTCACTGTAAGCTCCGCCTCCTGGGTTCACACCATTCTCCTGCCTCAGCCTCCCAAGTAGCTGGGACTATAGGCGCCCGCCACCTCGCCCAGCTAATTTTTTGTATTTTTAGTAGAGACAGGGTTTCACCGTGTTAGCTAGGATGGTCTCGATCTCCTGACCTCATGATCCGCCCGTCTCGGCCTCCCAAAGTGCTGGGATTACAGACTTGAGCCACCGCGCCCGGCCAAAAAATTTTTTTTTAATTAACAGGGACTAGGTGTGGTGGTTTATGCCTATAATCCCAGCATGCTGGGGGCTGAGGCAGGAGGATCACTTGAGCCGAGGAGTTTGAGGCCAGCCTGGGCAACATAGTGAGACCCTGTCTCCAAAAAATAAAAAAATATTATGGGGTGTGATGGTGCATGATTGTTGTAACTGCCTGGGAGGCTGAGGTGGAAGGATTGATTGAGCCCAGAAGATGGAGGCCACAGTGAGTTGTGATCATGCCACTGCACTCTAGCCTAGGCGACAGAGTGAGACTGTCTAAAAACAAGACAGAAGCCGGCGTGGTGGCTCAAGCCTGTAATTCCAGCACTTTGGGAGGCCAGGGTAGGCAGATCACCTGAGGTCAGGAGTTCAAAACCAGCCTGGCCAACATGGTGAAACCCTGTCTGTACAAAAATTAAACAAATTAGCTCTGCATGGTGGAGGGTGCCTGTAACCCCAGTTACTGGGGAGGCTGAGGCAGGAGAATCACTTGAACCCGGGAGGTGGAGATTGCAGTGAGCTGAGATTGTGCCACTGCCTGACAGTCTGGGCGACAGAACGAGACTCCATCTCAAAACAAAATGAAACAAATAAAAAAGTGTTATTTCTCTAGTAAAGTTTTGCATAAAATTGAGAAGTTCATTAAGCAGAGTACCAACATATGCTCACTTACCTTTAGGTATGTGGACTTTTTTTTTTTTTTAAATTTGAGACAGGGTTTTTGCTGTGTCACCCAGGTTGGAGTGCAATAGGGTAATCACAGCTTATTGCAGCCTCAGCCTCCCGGGTTCAAGTGCTCCTCTCACATCAGCCTCCCAAGTAGCTGGCACTACAGGTACATCAGGTACATGCCACCATGTCTGGCTAATCTTTTTTTTTTTTTTTTTTTTTTTCTCTGTAGAGATGGGGTTTTGCCATGTTGCCCAGGCTGGTCTTGAACTCCCTTGGCCTCCCAAAGTGCTGGGATTACAGACATGAACCACTGCACCCGGCCTGACTTCTGTACTTATTACTAATGGCTGGATTTTAAAAA